TCTTAAGGAGCCGGGGAGAAAGCAGAGCAGTTATGTAATAGGGAGGGGGGAGGACAGGAGGGAAGAAGTAAGAAGGCAGTACTGATGCTGCCTGGGCTGGGCAGAGGTAGGAATATAGCTCCCATGGGGGCCCTGAGAAGAAGCAGTAAAAATGCCCAGAATCAGACAGATGGGAGAAGAGCCAGAAATATCATGCCCTACCCCCTCAGAATCTATCCTGGAATTCCAGCATCCTTGGAATCCCACTACCCAATTTCCCTTCCCCTTCTATCTGCCTCTCCCTGGGTCACTCTCATTATCTTCTGTCATATTTGTAAACTTTCTAATGTCATAAAAATTTCAATGATTATTATATTAACTAGTACAGTGTGGTGGATACAATGCTCAATTCAGAGTTGAGAAGAGCTGGATTCCAATCCTGTTTCAAGTACTTATTTCAGCCTCAGTTTCCCCATTTGTAAAGTGAGGCCTAATAATAGCACCTGTCTCTTTGATGTTTGCAAACCACAAATTGCTATAGAGATGTCATTCTTTTTCTTCCCTGAAGCAGTAACTAGAGAGGGTATGGGTTTTTAGTGTGTTTTCAGGGGAAGGCAGTGTAAGGGCTGGTAATCTCTTGGGGATGGATGACATTAGGGAGTGGGAGTGCAGTAGGGGACGGCATCAGTGGGGTGTCAGGGATAGAATCAGAATTGGAGAAGGTATATGAGAGTAGAGAATTTGTTGGAGATGGGATAAGAGACTGGAGGGAGAATCAGAAGATTCAGGCCATGTTCCTGATTGTGCAGCTAAGGCTAAGGGTGGACACATGTCTCCATTGGATAGCAGCACTACTGCCACTGCTACCACCAGTGCTTCACTAGCAACCCCTCAAATTCCTCCAGAATAAGAAATCTGTTCTCTTTTCATTCCTTGACACTTCCTGTATCCTCCCCCAACACCCACCTCTCCTCTGTCAGCTACCCAGGGGACCCTGGCTCTCCCCAGCTCCTTCCTCTCCCTTACCAAGTTCAGTGGCCAACACGGTGAGATTGTGCCAAGCTCGAGCTTCCCGATCCAGAGGCACAGACGTCCGGATGGTGCCGTCCTCAGGTTCAATAGAGAAGCAGCGCTCGGGATCTGAGTGGGGGAGGATGGAGTATCTGAAGAAAGAGGTGTCAGGATTAGTGGCTGGGGATGGAGCATGAAATATCTGGGGGGAGGCTTCAGAGCTGATCTAATAACAATAACTGACATTTCTATTGTGCGTTATGCATTAGAGAGCCCTTTCCTTACAACAACTCTGAGCTGGGTAGGCTGAGTATTAGGATCAAAGATTTAGAGCCAGAAGGAAACTGAGAAGCCATCTGGGGCAACCTCTGTATTTTACAGATGAGGAAACTGAGGCTCAATAAGACTAAACTGACTCATCCAAGGTTATACTGGTAGTTAAATGAGACAGCCAGGATTTGAATCCTGGTTCCCAATTCCAAATCCAGCTCTGTTTCTACTGTGCTAGATTAAGCTTCCTATTCCCCCCTTCCATAAATGAGGAAACTGAAATACAGAGAAGTTAAGTAACTTGCCCCAGGTAACACAGCAAGTAAGCAGTGCTGTTTCCACAGCACCATGGGTACTAGAGTTTGGAGTACCCCAATGTCATTCTCCTAGGTTAATTCTCACAGCTGCATTTGGTAAGAAATTGAGCTCTTTCGGGTCAGGGCCAGCTGGTATAATTGTGGGGCCCCAGGAAGGCCCCTTTGCCTTAAATTATCTCCTCTCTGGATTGTCATTTTGCCTGAAATTGACCCTTTAGGTTAAGACACCTACCCAGATTCACCTCTAGGAGGGAGAACATAGAAAGTTATTACCAGTCATTAACACCTTAGAAGGAATCAGTTGATCATATCCTTAGACTAAATTAGCTTACCAGATTCTAAGAGTTTAGTGTCCATGGGAAATGGTAGAAAGGGAGGCTCAGAGGATGAGCTTTACCTGGGAAGGTAGGCCCGAGCAGGGTGCTGTGGTGTGGGTTGGGACAAAGGGGTCCAGGAGGGATGTAGGAAGAGGAGGTGGGAGAGTAACAGACATGCTTCACTGTCACTACAGTTCTGCTGAGGGTGGGACCAGGGGGTACCTGTCCAGAGCGACAGGGAGGCCACTCTCTAGACTCCCCTAAGCCCAGGCTGTGCTTGGGGTCATGAAGCTCTTAGTATTTAGGACTGGAAATGAAGAGGAATGGGGGTCCTGATGGAGCCTGACCAGTGGTTTCTCCTATCTGAATAGTATTTGGGAAAATGGATGCCCGGAGAGGGCAAGGGGTTGAAGGGAAACTGAAGGAGATGAAGGTCTGGGAGGCTATTGGAGAGGGATAGGCCAGGAATTGGCAAGTCAAGGAAGGCCAAGGGGACACAGGGAGAAACAGGGGCTGGGGGACATTGGGCAGGAGAAGCAGGAAGAGGATTGGAAAGCCTTTAAACTTTGATATTCAATGACTGAGAGAAGCAAATGAGGAGCTGGTTTTTGAACTGTTCTTTGCCACTGAATAGGACAGGGGCTATGGCCCCCTGAGCCTCACCTGATGGGGCTGGCGGGTGAATCGAGGTCCATAGCAGAGACACGGCCCACCAGGGTCCCTGGGGCACTGTTCTCAGGCACAGCCAAGTGGTAGGTAGAGTGGGTAAAGACAGGTGGTTCTGGAGCATCCTGGACTGCCACACGGACAGAGGCCACATCCTTGAAGGGCCCACGACGCAGGTAGGCTGGGTCTATGAGTGTATTTGTGGCCTCCACACGGAAGGCATAAGATCTGCGGCTCTCAAAATCCAAGGGCTAAAAGTGGGAGGAAACAGATCTGTAGAGGCTGGGGTGGGACCCTGGAGCCCATCGCATCCCTGCTAGACTGGAGAGACTCCTCTGTCCTGAGCCTGGGATACTGCCTGACCCTGGAATAAAGACCAGGGTCTGGGGCTAGACTTGGTGATTCACTCCCCCTTCCCTGGAAAGAATGGGAGCCCTCTGATCTGGAATGCATCCGGGGACGCATCAAAACAGGAGGAAGAAAAACTCAATTAGAAGTGTATAGATGGTTACAAGGCAGGGATGCCACCCCCTCCTTCCCCCCACCAAGGTGGTTAAGTAGGTGAATGTGTATCTGGGGTAATGTCTCAGAAAGCGGAGCATAGAAAGTGGATGTTGGCTTGGGGTGGGGGGAGAGAATGTCAGGTGGGGCACACCTTGCGTATGGTAAGAAGCCCATCTCGGCCTTGGGCATCAGTGCTGATACTGAAAGTCTCAGCCCCTTCCCCATCCAGGATGCTGTAAGCCATGAGGGCGTTGTCTCCCAGATCAGGGTCTTGGGCTCGAAGCCTGCCCACCAGGGCCCCTGGCCCTGCAGTCTCCACCACTGAAAACTGGTATAGGCCTTTGAAGAGAAGGGGGAACAGACTCAGAATGGCCCCTTCTCCTTTCCCAGATACTCCCATCTCCTGGAAAAAGGGGAAAGGGGGTCCATGGGAGAATTCCTCATTTCTCTTCCTCCCATTTCCCTAGAAAGCTCCCTTGAGGGCCTCCTTCCCTCCCTTTATCTTGGTTTCTAGGGGTGAGCAGAAGACTTCCCCAGGGCCCTCCTCCCCACCTCTCAGGAGAAGAGGCCTGAAGGGAATGTGATTCAGAGAGTGAGGGAAATATAGACACAGGGGCTAAGAGACTGAAATTCAGAGAAGGGGACATAAAGGGATAGAGTTGGCGCCCTTACTTTGAGGGAATTTGGGGGGGTTGTCATTGACATCGCTGAGAGTGACAGTGACTGTGGTGCTGCCCGACAGCCCCCCCATGTGGCCACCCATATCCTTGGCCTGAATCACCACCAGGAACACTTCCTGCGTTTCCCGGTCCATGTTGGGGATTGCTGTTCGGACCACTCCTGGAAGGGGATGGAATGTGATACTAAGTCAAAGGCATGATCCCCACCCTCACCCTCTTCATTGGGTATCCTTTAGACCCTTCCCCTCTGTTGCTTCCCAACCTCACCAGTCTGGGGGTCCACAGAGAAGAAAGGCAGGCCATCCAGCACTGTGTACACCAGCTTGGCACTGTTCCCATAGCTAGGGTCATCAGCGTCTTGAGCTGTCACCTGAATCACTGATGTCCCTGCCAGGGAGTCTCCTGTCACCCCCGGCTCATAAGGGAGGGAAGGAGGGGGCAGGAGTGAGGGAAGTGATGGGAGGGGAAAGGCTGTAGTAGGTTAGACGAGAGGTTTCGAAGGTGGTTTGGGCCAGTGGGCTGTGGGGCAAGTGTTGAACAACAGTCTGGGATCGGGGGGAGGTAGCACCCTGGAGGTAGGAGAGGGCCCTGAGCAGATGGGGTGTGGAAGGGAGTATCCTGGAACAGGGGAGAAGATATTTTGGAATGGGATTAGGGAGAAGGCCTGGAGGAATGGGATGAGCCTGGTATATAAGTTGGGAGTGAGCAGCTTGCCACAGGAGACACTTGAGTGGGGAGAGGAGTCTAGTTTATGCCAAAGGAAATTTGGGGTAGATCAAAGCAAGGGTCCCTCACCGACATTGGACATCTCTGGCACGGTGGCATGGTATGGCCCAAGGGGGAAGACTGGTGGGTTGTCATTGATGTCTTGCACTTTAATGATGAACTCAGATGGTGGCTCTAAGGGCCGGTTGGAGGCTCTGTCCACAGCCTGGGCCAATAGCACATACTGGGCCTTTTCCTCCCTGTCGAGGCTCTTGGTGACATGGATGTTGCCAGTAGCCTCATCAATCACAAACACAGTGCCTGCTCCCTCCCCTGTCAACAGGTACTTGGTTTGGCCCTCACCACGGTCGACATCTGAGTGAAGCTGTAGGGGACACGGAGGTAGGGGTCAGACGTGAGAAGGCTGCTGGGGGGAGAAAGCACAGCAAGGGGAATGGACATAAGGGATAAGAAGGCTCATGCTTGGGGACAAGGGACTTGACCAAGGTGAAGGAAGGAAGTGAGATGGGTGAAGCTAGGAGGAAGGGTCAAGTGGGTGGGAAATATGAGACTGTTTTGAGGGGAGGGGTTAATTCTTACTCTGCCAATGAGGACGGGTTCGGGGCCAGCATACTCCTCGATGACGAAGAACTGGTTCCAGACCCAGCTCCTTCTTGCCCGAAGCAGTGTAGGCCCCTGGCCCTCTTTGATACCAGCCCATGCTTGGGCTGGGGCAACCAGCTTCCCTGCACAACCCCAGCTCCCCAGCCAGGCCAGCAACAGCCGCACAAAGACCCACATGCTCTGAACCTGGTTCTGGTGTTGGCTCAGCCCAGGCTCCACTCACTGACCCACCGGCCCTCTCCCCACAGTGGTGCTGTCCATGTGGTGGGTGGGGCCAGTAGGGCAGGTGTGTGGGAGCTATCCCATCAGTCCAAACCTGCAGAAAAGGAATTGGTCAGCAAGGGAGAAGAGTGAGATACCTTCAAATCCCCCAACCTGGACACACTGGTAACCAGACCCATTAGTAACCATTCCCCAATACTTTCATTGCTATTGGATTCGGTGCTAAGAAAATAACTTAAGGGTTTGGGGAGAAGGGGACAGATAGGACAGGAGAGGCTCAAGCTGGAAGGGATAGGGAAGGAAACAGAGAAGAATCCCAATACCTTCATGACTTAACATTCCTAGCCACCCCCATCCTTCTTCCCAGCTGCACTACCCCTATATTCACCTCTGCCCTCCAAGTTGTCAAATCTCTGATCAGTCACGGTGCAGAAGGGAGAGCTGGAGAGAAAGGAGAGAAAAATGGGAGAAGGGGCCAGAATGTGTGGAAGGTCTGAGAAATCCTCAGTCTGGGCTCTCTTCCCCTCAACTTGCCCCTCTCTCCAACACAGGGTGACTGGCAGTTTTAGGATCTCTGCTTTGGGAGCCTAAGGAGGAGGGGCTGAGGAAAAGGGCTTGATAAAACCCACCAGACTTAATAGGGGTTTGATTCTAGGGGGTGTGGGGCCTAAGATGATCTGAGGGAGGGGATAAGAGGTGAAGGGGGGGGGAAGTAAAGCCAAATCTCTAGGGAGGTATAGAAAATGAGTGAGGTCTAAGAAAAGAGGCGACCCCTGACATGGACTCCTGAGGCCCCATTTCTCTAGATCCTGCCCAAGATCCCATGTGAAAGGCATTGCCGGGCTCAGTCAGTCTGCACAGCAGTGATACCCCTTGCAGCTAAGCAAAGGGACTGGTGGGGAGTGAGGCAGAGCTGGGGGCCAGGGATAGGAAAAGAGGGGAATGGGGAAGAGAAGAGCCACTGAGAGAGACATAAAGATAAGCGAGGGAGATGGAAGAAAGCGAGAACACTTGAATGATAGTGGTAGAAAGAGATCAATGGAGGGAGACAGAGAGTGACTGAAAGACAGAGATACAGAGATACAGAAAAAGCACAGATCCAGAGAGCTAGACCCCAGTGAAGAGTCAGTATGGGAGCAGAGAAGAAACTGCAGGTAGTGGTGACTGGGGAGATCCCTAAGAGCCGGGTTAGACCAGGACAAGAGAGAACTTCAGAGTCTGGGGAAATGGGGACAGACAGGAATGGTTCAGGCGGGGAAAGACAGAAGAGGAAGAACGAGGAGCCCAAGTCCCATTCCACTCTATTACCCCCCCTCCCGGGGGACACCCCAGGTAGCACCCTGCTCCAGTCCCTCCTCCTTAACAAGATCCAGACACCTGACAGCCTGTCCATCCAGTGGGAAACCAGGGAATGGGAGAGAGGGAAAGGGA